ATTTCATCATTCAATGACCCAAAGCAATAATATACTCCTAAATTCTGGACCTCTAGAAATGCACACTTAGAGAAACCATAGGACTATTCACTACATCATGTTCAACCGGGGGAATAAGAAACATACTTTTGATCAAGATTCATAATTTTGATTTGTACTGGCTAGGTACGGTACGTATCGAGGCATACCATATCGAGTAGTACATCTAAAATAGGATACAAGTTGGTAATGGTTGAAATTTCGACTGTTACTGCCCAATACAACCCTATATCGGGCGATACGGGGCCAAAAATTTGGCACCGGCTGATAGCAGGCAGTCCGCGCGTCAAGAGGCTCTTGGACCAGTACGTACTGCCTATATCGGGCAGTACACATCGAAATTAAAAATCATGTTTTTGATAAGTGGAACAGTATAAGCTAATTGTGCAAATTATTCAAGTGATTAATCAACAGAAAAAGTATTATCTTTTGTGCCTTTATATTCAACTCCAACAAGGTAGGCTTTCTTTGGACAAACCTACATTCTTAGTATGATAATTCTTTAGTTTTAAAATGATGAAAAAATGAGCTAAATATCAGTTTGCAATATATTTTTGCAGAAAAGTGCAAAGTGAAAGCACACAAATAAACAAGAAAAAGAAAAGGCTTAAGGAATTGATATGTGTAAAAATATTATTGATGAATACTCTGGTGACAAATGAATATCTATAATGCAATTCAAGAATTAGTTAATGTATCTTTTTTCCTTCTTATATAAATATAACAGAGACTAACAGAAGTCACAATTCCTATAGAGTAATTGCCAATAGTTCGCAAGAAATATTATAGAATGTTGAGGGGCAAGCCAGAAGTTAAACAAGAATGAGAAGCAAGTAAACAAATAGACTATTCAATAATAAAATTTGAGAAACCCCTAAATATATTTTCTAGTAAAGGACTAATATAATAGTTTTAAAAAAAAAATAAATGAACATGATTCTCAAATTCTAATAAGTGAAGCATCAATGCTCTGAGCCTCTTTGTCCCTAA